GGCCCCCCTGGGGAGAAGGGCGACTCAGGGGACCCGGGTCCTGAAGGCAGGAATGTGAGTACCACCTCCTGTGCACCCACTGCCCCGTGGGCACCCGCCGCCCCACGAACTCCATTGCCCTGCGCCCACTCCTACCCCATGGGTGAAAAAAAAAGGTGCCCCCCATCCCCTCCTACCCTCATGCCGTCCCTCTCTCCCACAGGGCAGTCCTGGAGCACCAGGGAGCAAGGGTGACCGTGGGGAGCCAGTGAGTGACACTGGGGGGAGAGAGGGAGCGGGGCCCTCACCCCGGAGCCAGCTCTGCCCTCACCAGGGCTGTGCCAACTCCTCTTAACCTGCTTTCCTCACCCTTCTTTCAGGGGCTCCCTGGACCCCCAGGACGAACCGTAAGCTCTGTCCTCACCCCCCTCTCTGCCCAGGGGCTGGTGCCCAGCCTCTGACAGCCCCTCTTTGCCCCACAGGTCGACGTGGGGCTTGGAGGAGTGGGGGAGAAGGGGGAGAAGGTAACAAATGAGTCCCCCGGGATGCTGGTGGTGGGGTTCTCTGTGCTGTCCTCCCCTGAACTCTGGCTGTGTGCTGGGGTGCTGGTGCTCCAAGCTCTCCGTGCCTTGGTCCCTGGCCATGGCCGGTACCTTCTGCCCAGCTCAGCTGGTTCTTTTTTCAGCCCGTGCCCATATTTTCAGACCTTTGCTATTATCCCACCATTAAACAATAAGCAGGCTTGGCACGGGCATTTGTGCCAGCAGTGGGGCAGAGCCCTCTAACTGTGGTGCCCTTCCCTGGCAGGGGGACCCTGGGGACCCTGGTGAGGATGGTGCCAAGGGCGCCCGGGGTGACACTGGCTCCCCTGGCCTGCCTGGAGAGAGGGTAAGTGCTGGGTCTGTGGTGTGGGAGGGGGTGAGACAGCAAGATGGGTGATGTTCTGCAGGAGAGACGGGGTCTTGGTGTGCAGGACCTGCACACCAGAATCCCTTCTTGTCTCCCCATGACTCACTGCTGAGCGTGTCTCTCTCTCTTGCAGGGTGTGGAGGGCCCCCGTGGCCCCCCTGGTACACGGGTAAGTGCCCCCTTCCCCGTGGGGGGCTGAGCAGAGGGTCTGCACCCTGCTTGGCAGGGGGAACAATTCTCACTCCTCTTCCCACCCCACAGGGTGACCCTGGGGACCGAGGCCTGCCGGGAGAGAAGGTGAGGGGACTGGAGGCTGGGGGCTGCCCCATGACACCCCCATCCTGCCCCACAGTTCCAGCCCTCTTGCCTTGCTCTCTTACAGGGGGACCGTGGCCCACCAGGGCTGGATGGCCGCAACGGGCTGGAAGGCAAACCCGGGCCTCCAGGCCCCACTGGGCTGCAGGTGAGCATGGTCCAGGTTAGGAGCAAGGCTGCTGATGGATGAGCGATGGGATGGGAGGAGCCTGCCCCCCAGGACTCCCCCTGCTCTGGGCTGGGATTGCTCATGGGGGCTTGTGGCAGAGTGGGGGTGTCCCTGCCCTCACCTCCTCCTTGTCTGCAGGGGAACCCAGGGAAGCAGGGAGACCCTGGCCGGGATGTAAGTACCTCCAGGGAGGGAGGGTTTGGGTTGTGCTCCTGCTGGGGCCATCACGCTTGCAAGGGGATGATGTCCTGTTGCACGCTCCTTGGTCCAGGGCAGCACAGCGGGACTGTCCCCTGTTGGGTGCTACCATCCCTGCCATGCTCCCAGCCACGCTCTGTCCTCCCAGAGCCGGCTGGGGGAGGCGGGTACCCTGCTGCCCTCTGCTCCCTCCATCTCTGTTCCTTGCAGGGGTTGCCTGGGCTGCGTGGGGAGCAGGGACTGCCTGGCCCTGTGGGCCTCCTGGGACCGCCTGGTGTCCCCGTAAGTACCAGCCACCCTGCATCCTGGGGATGCATCTTGCCCTGTGCCATCTGTGGTCAGTCCCAGCCAGCTCTGTCTGCTGGGGCTTGCCCCATGCCCATATCTCCCTTCCCTGCACCCTGGGGCTGTGGTGGGGTCTGGGGACCCCCAGCTGCTGGTGCCAGCACCAGGGGGGCTCTCTCAGTGCCTCTGCTTCCTCCCAGGGCAAACCCGGTGACGATGGCAAACCTGGTCTCAATGGCAAGAATGTGAGTGGGGGGGCAGGGCTTGGCTTTGGCACTCACCTTGGGGTCCCAAAGTGACTGGGTGACCCCAGTCTGACATGAAGTCATGGGGGGCGTGTGGCAAAGAGACCCTGTGCTCCAAGCCATACCCCCTGTGCCTGTCCCTGTCCTGTGCAGTGCCTGTGCTAGGGACAGCTGGGGTGGTTGGGCTGGGCACTGACTGGCAGCCTGTGTCCCCAGGGAGAAGATGGCACACCAGGAGAGGACGGAAGGAAGGTAAGGAGCTGAGCTCCAGGTGATCCCCACACAGTCCCTGTGCAGTCCCCATGTGGTCCACTCATGTCTGGTGGCTTCTCCTTGCTCGGGTCCAGGAGCATCGTTTTGGGGCATGCAGATGGGGCAGCATCCCTCTAACTCCTTTCCCTCTTCCTGGTTAGGGAGACAAAGGTGACACAGGACCCCCTGGCAGAGAGGTGAGTACACCCCTGCAGAGGAGTGGGGTGATGGGGGTGCTGGGCCCGTGCCCTTGCTGGGAACAGCCCTGGGCAACCCCGGTCCTGGGGGTGACACTGCTCTCTTGGCAGGGCCACAGCGGTGCCAAGGGCGAGCAGGGGGACAGAGGTTTGCCAGGCCCCCTCGGCCCCCCTGGCCTCCCCGGCGTCCCGGGGCAGGTTGGCCCCCCAGGGCAGGTGTGTAGTCCTCGAACCCACGGTGCCACCCAGCATTGCACCCTGAAGTCTGGGCTGCTCTGGGGCGGGCAGGACCCCTGCTAACAGCTCCCTTGGGGCACTCCCCCGTGTCCATGGGTGCTGGGTGCCATTGTGTCCCCTCTGCATCTTCCAGGGCTTGCCAGGCCCTCGTGGGATGGTTGGACCAAAGGTAGGTGTGCTCCTGCCCCCAAGCCCCACAAGGCAAAAGTCTGGGTGACCCCGTGCCAGAAGGGATGAGTCCTTGGTGGGACTCCCTGTCCCCAGCTGGCAGGGCTGGACCCTGGCACAGGAGTTTGGGCTGGGCAACTTAGCTCTGCCCCCCTGATGCCTTTGCTGTGTTTCAGGGGGATCCAGGGGAGCCTGGACTGCGAGGGGAGCAGGTGAGTACCCAGCACCAAGCCTGACAAGCTGCGAGCACCCCAGGGTGGTGGCAACCACAGCCTCTGCCCAGGCAGCACTAGCAGTGTTAACTCTGAAACCTACTGAGGGCAGCATCAGCACTTCTCACCTCACCTACCATACTTCTGTGCGTATTTTCATTCCCTCTTTCTCTGCAAACCTAGGGGCGACCTGGCAACCCTGGAGCACGTGGAGACCCTGGGACTGCAGTGGTGAGTCTCCCTGACCTGGTGGGCTGGGACATCAGCCCCAAGGGACAGAGGACCCTCCACAGTCCCCATGGTGGGAGTAAGCCAACAGCTGCTTAATGTCTTTTTATTGCAGAACGTTGAACGTAGCCTGGAAGCACTTGGCATCAAGGTACGTAGTCCTTGGCTGTTGGGCTGGGGCCTGTTTGTGCTGTGCGACAGCAGGGGTGGGGACACAGGGGGTGGTGGGAGACCCAAGCAACCCAGAATGGGTTGATGGGGCCGTGGGGTGCTGCCACAGCTGGGTTGCACTGACCCCCTGACCATTGGCTCCTTCCTCCCACCCAGATTTCATCCCTGAAGGAGCTTACGGGTGCCTATGATGGGAGCTCAGACTCAGTCCTGCTGGTGTCCGAGCGGCT